GAACTCGTACTATCATATACTACTAATAAGAAAAGAAAAAGACATTAGAGACAAATAAATAAAAAATTCTATTTTCCACGAAATAAAACTGAAGTGTAAATCATTTGCTTAAATGGTAGCATACCCCGACCAAAGTAGCCTAAATAAATGAGCCTAAATACTACAATAACCAATTTCAATTGTTTTTTTTGGCAATTATAAAAATACTATTTTTTATATGCACATTTGCAAAAATGTTATTTAGGAATGTCTATTTACAAAAATATCACTAATTATAGATTTATAAAATCTATATCTTAAAATTCTAAACTCTAAAAATATTTTGACACCTAAAACCCCCTAAACACTTAAAACTAAACATAATAGAACATGATTAACCCAAACATAAATAATATAAAGAAAAAATAATTTTGAAAAAGTGGCAATTTGTAAAGATTTCAAAAGTGTGACATTTTTGTAAAGTGACATTTGAAAAATGGCATTTTTTTAAACTTCTCTTGTTTTTTTTAAAGTCTTTACACATCCAAATATCTAGATTATTTATGATGGATATTTGGATGAACCCTGTCTAAACCGGTATCTGAATTAATGGAAAATCTTTGATTAGGAAAAAAAAACACATCCAAATATCAAAAATATAATTGTCTAATATACACAAGAAATTATCATCATTTTTGGGACATTTGCAAAAATGTCACTTTTTGTATCCACATTTGCAAAATACCATTTTTGTGTCTTTGCAAAAATGTCACTAATTATGATTTTTTAGAGGTTAACTCTTAAAATTCTAAATTCTAAAAAATCTTTTGACCCCTAAAACCCTCAAAACTAAATCCTAATACAACATAATTAACCTAAACATAAATGATATAATGAATAAATAATTTTTAAAAAGTGAGATTTTTGTAAAATGACACTTGAAAAAAGACATTTTTGAAATTTCTCATCATTTTTTTAACAAACAGTTCTAAACAATCCACCAAAATTAAATATTTATCTAATATTTTCTTGAGAAATTTCAAAAAATGCCACTTTTCAAGTGCCACTTTACAAAAATGCCACACTTTTGAAATCTTTACAAAAATGCCACTTTTTCAAAATTATTTTTTCTTTATATTATTTATGTTTGGGTTAATTATGTTCTATTAGGGTTTAGTTTTGAGTGTTTAGAAGGTTTTAGGTGTCAAAACATT